CTCTCCACTGGAAACTGTTCCTGGAAACAATGGCTGCAGACGCCTGGCTCCTGACACCCATATCCTCTTGGCACCATTGGAATCAACAGGTCCTCGACCTATGGTTACAGGGAACCTTCATTGATTTCCAAACCTGAAGAAGTCCACATCTACTCGTCCTTACTGCGGGGAGTCCTATCAACCCTTTCCTCCCAATCCTCAAGCCCTCACTCCCTTCTCCGCCCCCATTCAGCAGGAAGCAGTCAGAGAGAAAGCAACATCTACAACCCCATAGAGGAGAAAGGGGGGAATGAAGGGCCCCCACCAGTAAGATGGTGAACTTCTGGCTTCTCTTCTGGGTCCTCGGTTCCCGACGGCGCCACCTGAAGCCCAATCACCTCTCGCCCCCCTCCCAATCCCAGCACCTAGCCAACAGCCACCAGCCCCGTAGAAGTAACACCACAATGACCCCATGCCCCTTCCTATATAACCCAGCACCTTTCCTTAATAAAGCGGATTTCTCCGGTGAATTGCTGCTGTGTGTTGCTCCTTTCCTTTCAAAAATCATGGTATGCTTACTAATTTATTCAATATATATGTCAGAATTTACTAATTTTCAGGCACAAAGCTAGGACAATTACAGGGATCAAAATAAATAGGCTCTCTGCTGTCATAGAGTTTAACATCCAGTAAGTGTGGGGAGACATTACTTAAACCTAACACCCATTCTGCCTATTTTTATTACTAATAGCATCTTGATTTTGTTTAAACAGAAAATGCACCCAGATTCCCTTCTGTCTAGGGACTCAGCTCTTCTCAGTGATAGGTACGTATCAGTTATCAGTCAAAATTTCCCAGAAAGTTATTGTTTTCCAGACTTGAAGGAACAGGATCAGCTGCTCTAAGCTTTTTGTCCTTTAGTATTCTCCCATTGGGACTAGTATGCTGGTGGCACAATGGCTAGACTGGACAGCACTCTAAGCACAGAGGAGCATGAAGATGGATAAAGTCTCATGGCCTGAAGTCACCTTTGAGTAGCTGCAGCCTTGGCCAATTTCCCCAAGATTTTATCTAACATTACACAAACACATCTGTTAATTTTAAGCCACTCTTTGTCAGGCTACTTGCCCCTGTATGCATTTCTAACTAACACAATAGGCATGTCACAGAATGATGACTGAGAACTTTGTTTTACTCCAGGAATTATAGCTGAGTCTTTGTCAAAAGTGAGCACACAATATATCAAACACAGCACCTTCTAAGTTTCAAGAACCTCCAGTGATTGGAGACAGAAACCTTATCGCAATGCTTATAGGGGAGCCAATTAGAGAAACCGGTCTATTAGTAGTCATGACACACCCACTTAACATAAAGATAGTGCTAGAAGAGGTGGGGAGTCAGAATTTTGGAAGGTGTACAATTTAGGAAATGAGGCTAATCTCTCTGTTAATCACCTTCAGGAAGACAACCCTATACCTAAAGCTGAAGTCTAGAGAGTCTGGTCCCAAAAAAATCACTTTTCAAGCTTGGAGGTGTCCAACATCTTTACCTCCACTATAATGGGGACCAATGATCACCTCTTTAAAAATCATTGACTATCTAAAAACTAATGCATATGGGCTTACAGAAAGGATCAGCAGAGAGATGGCTAAGCCAAGGGAAGAAACATCAATAGGACAGCCTGCATTTCTTCCATGTGGCACAGCAAATACATGTTAGTTTCACATGGGTCCAATGGACAGCACAGAAAGTGGCAGAGTAGTGGGACATGCTGGAAAGTGGGTCTCAGCAGCAAGAGAGTGGGGTGAGCCTCAGAGTGGAGAAGGTTGAGTTGGAACCAGATCCAAACACCTACCATGGGAAAGAGACTGTAGGACCTCCAGGAGTACCTATATTTGTGCTCACAGGAGAGCCAGCATTTCAGTATCTACCATACAAAGGGCTTTGTTGGCAGCATTAGCCTGAGAAGCATCAAAACCAGCAGAAAGGGAATGGCCCCTCTTTGCGGGCAAGCACAGCAGCCCCCCTCCCCTTTCGCTTCTCCTTGCCACAGCACTCGGCAGTGAGAGGCGGAGAGGGGAGGACATGTGTGAGAATCAGTTTCTGATCCCCAACATCACACATTGCAAGAGCACAAAGATGTCTATCCTGTAGTGGGAAATTGGGGGAGGAGAGAATGGAAGAATATAACTGAAAATCAGAGAAGAGACTCAAGTTTTAAAATGAGTAAGATGTATTCCAAGAACTTGAATGAGAGAAAAAAACAAGAGGAAATTTACCCCAGTTGTCATTAAAGCCTCATACAATGGGGATTTAACACACAGCAATCATTGGGGTAGGCAATTAGAGGAGAAAAGAATTAAACCATCTCATCTTTCTTGAACTTCAAAAAATAAATGGAATTTCTTATAAAACATTAACTTATTAATAGTTACAAATTTCTATGGGTCATATGTTTTATGAAGGAAGTGTAAAGGGTGTGATAACAGCTTGCAATGCAGGTTTTAGTTTGAAGGACACCAGGGGTGGTGTAGCCCTGAGCAGGGAGAGGGAGTGGTGGGGAGCAGTGGCTGGTCAGGGAGAGGGGCATGCAGCCTGCAGCCATGAGAACCAATGCCAGGAAGGGCTGGCTGGTCCCCTTGGAGAAGCTGAATGAAGCCCGTATGGTCTGGGCTCAGAGATTGGTGGCAGGAGGAAGAGCAATAGGAGATGTCAAAGGGTCAGGCAGAAAACAAAGTATGAAGATTCCCTTGAATCAAAGAGTTATTCAGCTCGTCCCCAGGAAGCAAGTGGAAGCATGTGTTAGGTGTGAGACCATAAATTGCCCTTTTCCTTCTCCTTCACTATTGGATGCAGAGACGGCTGACATTCTTCTCAGTCAATTCAGTTTATATGTCGGTGCATGTTTTCAGAGGGCTTTCTGGCAGATTCAGATGGCAGCTTTTGTCAGCAAGGATATGAATGGTACATACAGTTCAGGGCTCCACGCAAATGAGAAGAAGTGCGTCAACTGCCTGTAGGATTTCTGGGAATTTCAAATAGGTCGTTCTGTTGCCTCAGCCCCAGAGGGCATCTTAGACCCAACTTATTGCTGGGCTTTTTCCTCCCCTCCAACTGCACCTTTCCCAGGGATGCTATCTTTTCAGGAGCTGCCACCACTTATTCTGGCTTTGTCTAAGCAAAAGGCACCTATTACCTCTTGCTTTTCCAACTTCTAAAAGCTGGAGCTGAAATGGGTCAGAGGCAGCAGGAAAACTAAGCAGGAATTCCCAACACTGGATGGCACATTGGTGACAGCTTCTGTTTTGTACCTGTTGTCACACTGTTTAAGTAGCAGGAAGCAGAAAACAGCACAGTGAGACAGCTTTTCCTCCTTCCAGAAGCTATAGAGCTCACCTCTGCAATTTCCCTTGCCTCTTACTGGTCCAGGAATGTTGGCTCCCAGCTAACTGCAGGGCAATTTCTAGATGCATCAACAGTCAGTTGAACTAAACATGAATTCATCTAAGGATGATTTTCAGGAGACCAGGAATGAATTCCATGCAATTCAGCCAATGTGGGACAGTGCCCCCTCACATAGTCACATCCTGTTAATTTAACTCAATTTCAATTGTCAGCTACCAGACAAGAGGCCAGAGATAAGCAAAAAGATTAACTTAGAAGCAATATGAGCTCATTTTAGAAACAAAAACACTTACCCCAACCTCCGGCAGGGGATCCTTATGTTCAGGTAGGACACTGGTTCGAACCTATGGAGTAAAACACACATTTTCTCTATGACTTTCGAGTTGAAACCAGTGCAAAAGCTTCACACAGGTGCTGGGTTTGATTTACCTTCATCTGGCATCAATTCAGACTTTGTGGTTAATCATTACTGATGGTAGCTATATGCTACACCCACTGCTGTGCAAAAAAGTTGTCCTTGCATAGTTCCTGAACTTCATGATTTTCCTAAGTAGACTGAGCTGTGTGTGAGCCTCACCCCTTACCCCTTGGCAAATTCAGAGATTTCTGGGATTTAGGTGAAATACCTTTAATCTCCTCAAAAAGCAAACCTGATTCAACATTCGAGGGGAAGGATAGATTTGGTAAAGAGGAAGTCATGCTGTGAATGCTCCATAAATATTTGTTCTTCGAATGGACACCAAAACACACAGTCCTTTTAGGATATCCTTCGCACTTGAGAATTCTGGGCCAAATTGTCAGACACCATTATCTAGATTCATTTGAAAACTAATTCTCAATTGGGGAAAAGGAAAAGAGTGGAAAATAGTCATCTGGAGAAGCTTTTTGTATATTTGAAAAGAATTCCAAGTGAAATATCAACTCCTTAGATAATAAATAGATATGTATTTTCTCCAAGCAGTGATCCTCAGTCCTGGCTGTATATCAGAATTACTGTGGACTTTTTCAAACTACTGATTCTCTTTTCTGCCTCCAGATACTGATTCTAATGTACAACTACTGAGTCAAAGGCTCTTTTCTTAAGAAGAAATGTTTCAAGTGAAAAGAATTCATGATTACCTTTCTCACTTAAGATAAAACTAGTAACAGCAACAAGAAAACATAACACCTAAATCCAGCAAATCTTAATTTGAAGTAATGATGACATAACAAGTTAAATTAATACAGAGCAATATAGAGGCACACTCTGTTGGACTACAGAGCAGAGGGAGAGAGGAATCCAAGAATTCATAATGGATCGACATTTTAGGGGGTCATTTTAAGCAAAATCCCTTTGGAGGTACAGTTCTGCCAGACATACTTCCGTTAAAATACTTTAAGTCCTGACACGCTGACCAGGCCAGCTCTGTTCTCCCAGGTTGAAGTGATGCTTACAATGTGAACAGCCTTGAACCAGCTCCTAATACCTCCTAGTCTTTAACATGGCTTCCATTTCCTTGACAAAAAGCCTCAAACAGTAGTAAAACACTGCATCTGAACTTTCTTTCTTTTGTTTCTATTTTTTTATTTTGGTATCTTTAATGTACAATTACATGAGCAACATTATGGTTACCAGACTCCCCCCATTATCAAGTCCCAACCACACACCCTATTACAGTCACTGTCCATAGCATACTAAGATGCTATAGAGTCACTACTTGTCTTCTCTGTATTCTTCCCTGTGCCCACCCCCACTAGAGTGTGTGTACCAATCATAATGTCCCTTTGTCCCCCTTATCCCTCCCTTCCCACCCATCCTCCACAGTCCCATTCCCTTTGGTAACTCTTAGTCCATTCTTGGGTTCTGTGAGTCTGCTGCTGTTTTGTTCCTTAGTTTTTTCTTTGTTCTTAAAACACCACAGATAAGTGAAATCATTTGATACTTGTCTTACTCCGCCTGGCTTATTTCACAGGGGATACTACCCTCAAGCTCCATGCATGTTGTTGCAACTGGTAGGATTTGTTTTCTTCTTATGGCTGAATAATCCACTGTATATACGTACCACATCTTCTATATCCATTCATCCACTGAAGGACACTTAGGTTGCTTCCATTTCTTGGCTATTGTAAATAGTGCTGCGATAAACAAAGGAGTGCATATGTCTTTTTGAAACTGGGCTGCTGCATTCTTAGGGTAAACTCCTAGGAGTGGAATTCCTGGGTCAAATGGTATTTCTATTTTGAGTTTATAGAGGAACCTCCATAATGATTTCCACAATGGTTGAACTATTCACATTCCCACCAGCAGTGTAGGGGGAGTTCCCCTTTCTCCACATCCTCACCAACATATGTTGTTGTCTTTTGGATGGTGGCCATCCTAACTGGTGTGAGGTGATATCTCATTGTGATTTTAATTTGCATTTCTCTGATGATTAGCGATACACAGCATCTTTTCATGTGCCTGATGGCCATGTGAACTTCTTCTTTAGAAAAGAGTCTGTACAGATCCTTTGCCCATTTTTTAATTGGATTATTTGCTTTTTGTTTTTTGAGGTGCATGAGCTCTTTATATATTTTGGATGTCAACCCTTTATAGGATATGTCATTTATGAATATATTCTCCCATACTGTAGGGAGCCTTTATGTTTTACTGATGGTGTCGTTTGCTGTACACAAGCTTTTTAGTGGGATATAGTCCCATTTGTTAATTTTTGCTTTTGTTTCCCTTGCCTGGGAGATACGTTTAAGAATAAGTTGCTCAAGTTTATGTCCAAGATGGATTTTCGAATGTTGTACCATCCTTGCATCCTTGAGATGAATCCCACTCTGTTTTTTTCAAAGAGTTCTATGGTTGCATGACTTACATTCAGGTCTGTGATCTATTTTGGGTTTACTTTTGTGTATGGTGTTAGACAATAATCCAATTTCATTCTCTTACATGCAGCTGTCCAGTTTTGCCAACACCAGCTGTTGAAGAGGATATTTTCTCATTTTATATCCATAGGTCTTTTATAGTATATTACTTGATCATATATGCTTGGGTTAATCTCTGGACTCTCTATTCTGTTCCACTGGTCTGTGGGTCTATTCTTGTGCCAGTACCAAATTGTCTTGATTACTGTGGCTTTGTAGAAGAGTTTGAAGTTGGGAAGCAAGATCCCCGCCCCTCCCCCACTTTATTCTTCCTTCTCAGGATTGCTTTGGCTATTCGGGGTCTTTTGTGGTTCCATATGAATTTTAGAACTATATGTTCCAATTTGTTGAAGAACGCTGTCAGTATTTTGATAGGGATTGCATTGAATCTGTAGATTGTTTTGGGCAGGATGGCCATTTTGATGATATTAATTCTTCCTACCCAAGAGCATGGGATGAATTTCCATTTGTTAGTGTCCTCTTTAATTTCTCTTAAGACTGTTTGTAATTTTCAGGGTATAGGTCTTTCACTTCCTTGGTTAGGTTTATTCCTAAATATTTTATTCTTTTTGATGCTATTGTGAATGGAATTGTTTTCCTGATTTCTCTTTCTGTTAGTTCATCAATTGTGTATATGAATGTAATAGATTTCTGTGTATTAATTTTGTATCCTGCAACTTTGCTGAATTCAGATATCAGTTTTAATAGTTTTGGAGTGGATTCTTTAGGGTTTTTGTGTATAATACCATTACCATGTCCTCTGTAAACAGTAACAGTTTGACTTCTTCCTTACCAATCTGGATTCCTTTTATTTCTTGGTTTTGTCTGATTGCCGTGGCTAGAACATCCAGTACTATGTTGAATAAAAGTGGGAAGAGTGGGCATCCTTGTCTTGTTCCCGATCTTAGGGGAAAATGTTTCAGCTTCTCACTGTTGAGTATTATGTTGGCTTTGGGTTTGTCATATATGGCCTTTATTATGTTGAGGTACTTGCCCTTTATACCCATTTTGTTGAGAGTTTTTATCTTCAATGGATGTTGGATTTTGTCAAATGCTTTTTCAGCATCTATGGAGATAATCATGCGGTTTTGTCCTTCTTTTTATTGATGTGGTAGATGACATTGATGGATTTTCGAATGTTGAACCATCCTTGCATCCCTGAGATCAATCCCCATTTGATCATGGTGTATGATTCTCTTGATGTATATTTGAATTCGGTTTGCTAATATTTTGTTGAGTATTTTTGCATCTATGTGCATCAGGGATATTGGTCTGTAATTTTCTTTTTTTGTGGGGGTCTTTGCCTGGTTTTGGTATTAGAGTGATGCTGGCTTCACAGAATGAGTTTGGAAGTATTCCCTCCTCTTCTACTTTTTGGAAAACTTTAAGGAGAATGGGTATTATGTCTTCTCTAAATGTCTAATAAAATTCAGTTATGAATCCATCTGACCCAGGGGTTTTGTTCTTGAGTAATTTTGATATTACTAATTCAATTTCATTGCTCGTAATTGATCTGTTTAGATTTTATCTCTTTTCCTTGGTCAGTCTTGGAAGGTTGTGTTTTTCTAGGATATTGTCCATTTCTTCTAGGTTATCCAGTTTCTTAGCATACAGATTTTCATAGTATTCTCTAATAATTATTTGTATTTCTGTGGTGTTCCTCATGAGTTTTCCTTTATCATTTTGATTCTGTTGATGTGTGCAGATTCTCTTTTTCTCTTAATAAGTCAGGCTAGGCATTTATCTATTTGGTTTATTTTCTCAAAGAACCAGCTTTTGGTTTCACTGATTTTTTTCTGTTGTTTTGTTCTTCTCAATTTTATTTATTTCTTCTCTGTTATTTATTATTCCCCTCCTTCTGCTGACTTTGGGCCTCATTTGTTCTTCTTCTTCCAGTTTCAGTAATTGTGAATTTAGACTATTCATTTGTGATTGCTCTTCCTTCTTTAAAAAGGCCTTAATTGCTATATACTTTCCTCATAAAACTGCCTTTGCTGCGTCCCACAGTAGTTGGCACATTGTGCTGTTGTTTTCATGTCTCCATATATTTCTTGATCTCTGTTTTAATTTGGTCATTGATTCATTGATTATTTAGGAGCATGTTGTTAAGCCTCCATGTGTTTGTGAGCCTTTTTGTTTTCTTTGTACAATTTATTTCTAGTTTTATACCTTTGTGATCTGAGAAGTTGGTTGGTAGAATTTCAATCTGTTTGAATTTACTGAGGCTCTTTTTGTGGCCTAGTATGTGGTGTATTCTGGAAAATGTTCCATATGTACTTGAGAAGAATGTGTATCCTGCTCCTTTTGGGTGTAGAGTTCTCTAGAAGTCTTTTAGGTCCATCTGTTCTAGTGTGTTGGTTCAGTGCCTCTGTGTCTTTACTTATTTTTTGTCTGGTTGATCTGTCCTTTGGAGTGAGTGGTGTGTTGAAGTCTCCTAAAATGAATGCATTGC